AACTTTAGAAACTTTTAACCATTACAATTTGTCCAAACAATTTCCAATTACTTCTGGATAGTGCGCAGCCTGCGGAGGGCCCTGTGATGGATACTGCCGACATAATTCTGGTCTGCGTCGTGTGCGTTAGCAAAGCGCTTGACGCACACCTTCCAGTGTAATTTTTCGCGTGGGTATGCTGCTGCAGAAACTACCGGCTGATGTGCTTGACCAGCTTCGTGGACTCGACACTGACGATAACTTGTAAAGGTGCGAGAGAAAGCGCGGAAGAGGTATGGCGTAGGACGGCTGCGTGGGAGGTTTGCTTTACGTCGTGCGAGCTGAGTAGCCACGCGGTAGATAGTAAGGGCGCGGCCCTCGTCGAGGTCGAAAGATGGCGCAGAAGCGGTAGAACTTTCCTCGTCCGAAGCTTCTACTGCCTTTATATCCACAAGGCGGGGGCTGTAAAAAGCTTAGAATGCGAGTTACAGCCGTCAAGCTGGATCAGTGGTACGGGCGGAGTGGTTTCGCCGCGGGGAGGCGTTCGGAGGATGTACGGAATTGGCGGTAGAGAAGCACAGCAGATGCGGACGGACGGACATGGAGCGGCGAGCTTGAGGGTGTAGACGGAGTACCGCGATACGGCGGTGTCGATGCGGTGACGGTAAAGAGGGCGGCGGCAGCGGCGATGCGGCGTTCCCAAATTATGTCGGGGTGATTGGTAAGGCGCTTTACCCGCGCCATTAAAAACTGCGCTAATGCGCCAGGCGTACAGTATTTTGTACAGTACGCCCAAATGTATAACGTCCGCTGCAAAACTAGACAGTATTTATTACAGTGAACGTTAGGGAGAAAGTTAATTGTTGTAAAAACTTTCTTGATTTCCAATTCGACTGAGTGAATAGGGCGGCCTTATTTCGGATGCGCAAACGATTTGTTTCGACGGTTGGTTAAGTCGAGCCTTATTTTCGGGGACGGGGCAGGGCCAAACGGGGCGGCGGTCCCGTAAACTTATAAGTTTTGGGCGACCTGAAGGGGGCGGTCCGGAGGGGATTTTAGTGAAGGGTAAAATGGTCGTAAATAGGGTTACCTTAAAGGGAGGGGAAAAGCGGCAGGCTATTGCCTCAGAACCACTACGGAGGTGTGAGCACGGTCAGGAGACGGGGTTGTCGGGTTGATTGTTGCAGGTGATCGAGTGTGCTGAGGTCGAAGACGAGTAGCGTCTTTGACCTGGCTTTATAGTCCTATTGACTCTACAATAAAAGTAGGCGCACTACCATAAAAGGGAGGTTGCGCCACCCACGAAATGTGTCTAAACGGTTACACCCTAAAACAGGTAGAATTGTAGGTGGCACGTCCTTAACGGACTCTATCGTTGATAGCTAAATGTAGCCTACATAGTCCATGAATTGATATTGATAAAAGAGAAATGTGATATCTACTGTAGTTTTGTCAATAAGTCTAACAGGAACACCCTAACCCTTGATGGCAAGTTTATTTATGAGTTCATGGTATCTCCCCTCTGCCCGGGTGCAACCTCTACCGCCCCCGCTATAAGGGGCTTCGACTGGCATGCACCACATGTGTGCCACGTGGATCATAAATCCAATTATAAGGATTAGATGTATTGTCATCGGCCACGGCAACGATTACAGAGTGGCAGGTGTTGCACAGGTGGGGGCGCGCAAGCGCAATGCGCAGGGTTCCACATGCCACATGCGAGGCCAGATTGTGAGCTGCAAATATTTCACCGAAGCAAAATTCATCGTAAGTATTACCGTCGCTTGACGTAGTCATGCCTGGGGCCAGCATTTCGTCACACGTACTGTATCGACAATCATCGTGAATGCACACAAGCCGAACGACATCTCGCAATGGGAGGATCAATGGTAAAACTGGTTTTAGAGACGTGGGTTCCCATGCTTCCATAAGCAATTGTTTCTATGAGTGTATCTTGCTGTACTTCATCACATTTCAAATCAGTTTGTATGCTCTGATTCGTTATGCTTTGTGTATTCATGTTCTGTTCTCCAACAAAGAACACTAAACACATAAAACGCCCTTAAAATCAGTGTTTGAATTAATTAGAAAGACACACAGAAGTGATTTGACAGTTTGACATCGTACAGTACCAGGCAAAATACTTTGTCAGGAAGAAGTTGTAGTATAGTATTCTTCAATTGCCCGACTGAATTCAGTATTCACCTGCATGTCGTTTCGATATACTGTACAGACCCTTCGTGACGTAGTTTATAGTCATAAGAGCCACCCCTCTTGGAGTTGCAGGGGCATTTATTGCAAAACAGGTCATAAGGGAAAGAAAGACCCCTGCGTTTCCTCTTCAGATCTCGACGCCTGTTATGCATGTTTTAGGATCCCGCGTGTTGTAAGCAATTGTATATAATAATAGCAACGTCATCGGAAAGTTCTATTCAGAATTTCCTTGAGGAGACAGGGATGAGTTGCTCAGCCTCTTCCGGGACCGGATAAGCCATAAATATACGTTGATAACATCGACAGGGAATCACGTGGCTTTCTCATATTGTATCTGTACCGTTTCCTCCGTACAATGGAATTCATGACCACTTTATATTTGCCTGGACTGTAGGTGTCCGGCAGGTAATGACACTTACATAGGGCAAACCGTCTATGACAATCGCTTGCTCAGGAACAAGGATACCGAAGAATGCCTGGTTTTTCTGATTGATAGTGTGCAACTACACGAACGACGGGGTTCCGCTCCTTAAGACCATACCCAACGTGATACTACCAGTACTTCTCAATGAACAAAAACGCAGTTTCGTTTTTGGAATTATTTCACCCTTTTTGAAGAGCCTGCGAGACGTATGCTTGGTGTAGGATCAGCGAAATTTGTGCTGGCATTGCATGTCCAAACTGGTGGTGTTTAATGGCCAGACCGCTGTGTGATGGGGAAAACAACAAATTCGATTCACACTGCAAAAGTAGTTTCGACAACTGCTTTTGCAGTGTAAATCGAAAGGTTAGTAAAGTATCCTGTTAGTACTGTACAGACTTTTCAGCACAAGTGCTGCGACTTAAATTGAATTTTGCTTAGGAACCAGCGTGCGACAACTATGAGCTGAACTCGAGTGTTACATTGTGGTAAACATCTGATGTAACGTACAAGTAATGTGACGTGTGAGGTTGGATACATGACACTGGCAGGGAAAAGGGTGAAATGGATGAGAAGACTTGTATAGGTGTTCTTCACCCCGTTTAAGTATCATAATCCCTTCTGTTGCACTCGAGAATTGAAATGGACTGCTTGCCTCGCAGTTATTTTTACCTCACACGAGGCAGTTTCCAGGTGTTGTCTCATGTGCTGGAAAAATAGCTTCCAGCCGTGTCCCAACTTGGAGCAGACCTGCACACTGATGTGACTCTGCACTTCGGATATATTTCCACTGCTACAATGCTGCTGTAATGAAACAGAGAATGCTGCTCGTCACCCGGAATAGATTTCGCTTGTCCGTTTTTCTCAATGCACAAACGATAGACTCCGTGTCTTTTATAAGGACAGTTGAGCCATTCATACTACAGTACAGATCTTTTGGCGCACCTGAATGTTTTTGAGTGGTATCTTCGAGGTTTCTAAGCATGTGGTCCGACCATTCAAGTCTCAGTCTAGTCAAGCATACATGAGTGGTATTATTGCGGTGATTGTATTCCTGGGCTGTGTCTCTAACGAGGTGTTGCTCCTGCGATATTTTTCTCTTCCCGTAACAACAACAAGAGTACGAGACAAGAAACTGATAAAATCATTAATCGTATGAGCCTCCTTTCCGTCCGATACAGCAATGACAATCGACGACATGGCACCTGGGAATCGAATGGAAATCCTCTATGAGACTCAATCAGAGTTGCTACTGACAATCAGCCTTGGTAAGTGTGGGAGTGTCCCAAAGAGTGTCCCAATCGATTGCATGGCCCTGTACCCGGACACGACGGCATGCCCTCACCACTACAGTAACCGCACTTTTTCAACTTTCTTTTGCGGTCATCATTGACCTGAGATTTTCGCAGTGTCGATAGGCTGCGACCACAACGTGTTGCCCTCAACGATGTCCTTGCACTCTCAAGTATAATAAAATCTCATCTACATGGTGACACGCCACACTCATATCTGGAAGGACGACACACCATATCCTCATTGAAAGCAAAAATCATGAGGCCATATTTGAGAGCGACCCTGTCCAACATTCCGCGATGCAGCATCGAAACCTTTAGGTAGGTAGCTTGTGAGTGTGTGTGCGATACGGACTATCCACAATTAGGGGACATCTTTCGCCAGATAACGCAGATGGGCAGTTGCCCTAACCTGAAGATGTAATGGTAGAGCGTAACCAGTGCTGATCCTCATACACTTCAGGGTACCGGGACGAAAAGAATGTCGTGTAGTGGGAGTTCTATTCCATGTATGCCCAAAGACAACAAGAATAGCGAATTCTTTCAACTTCTATTCAAAAGCCGAATGTCAGTGACGCATCTGTTCTCAATTCTTTTTTACTGCCTTGAATGAGCCCTGGACAGTACCAAAGATGCTCACGTGGGGCAACAGCTTTTTGCATTGATTCGTAAAAAACTATTTTTGCCTTTTTGATCACAGGGTGTGATAGTGCTGAACAGTGCCGTCGCCAGGCTTGTTTTTAAGAGCTGTCCAGTACAAGTTCATTACATCTTGTAGCAGTGCTTTTGAAATGCCCATTTCATACCCAAGTAAATGCCGAGGGAGCAAAATTTGTTGTACGTACGATTGGCCATACTCACTTCCTCCCTCGCATCGTTTGCATCTTCAAAAACTCCCACCAAATCAATCCGATCCATGCAAAATCAGATTGGGATGCAATTCGCAGCTCAAAGTTCGATTCGCTGTCCCCTTTTTCAACAGAACCAGCATGTTGGTGCGAACGTGAACAACCGCTAGGATTTTTGTATATATATAAACACAGCGGATGGCAGCGAAGTTTCACAGTCGAACACATCGACTTCGTCTCTGAAAAATGGACCTCAACTACCTATTATCTCCCAGTTCAAAGCCAAATGCACTCGCAAGACGAGGAACTAACCGTTCTTCGCAAAACCATTCCACCTCGGCGAGTGGTTCATCGCATGGGAGAAGGGCAAACCCATCTAAATCTTCGAGCACACACCACCACAACGACAAAAGCAAGAAAGAGAAACCTTCATCGTCGCAGAAATCCACCGTTGCGACCAGGCCACACGTCTGCCATCAGTGTGATAAGCCATTCTATAAACAAGAACAGCTCAAACGCCACGTTCGTTTGGTTCATGAAAATTGGCGACCTTTCAAATGCCTCTTCTGTGAAGTTACGTTTGGAACCAAGCAGAATCTCCACGTTCATTTCACCACGAGGAAGCACCGTCATCGATTTGAGAGCCTGGAAGCATCTAATCCGAAGCTTGCAAAGGAACTGACTTTTAAGCAGTGCCATCTTGAGAAGAGTTGACGAAGTCCAACTGCATCTCTATACTCGTTCATGAAGTACATTTAGTGGAGGCGCGCTGGAGAGAGATGTTCTGGCATTCCAAAGCGAAGTGTAGCTGCATACTGTACACGGATAAACTACTCCATATCTCCGGGCCCAGTGAAAAGTTAATTTGACAACAGTAAACACATCAATCTGTACATCTCAATAGAGAGCTATTGCACGCGCAAAAATTGGCAGCTAAATTTGGTCTTGTCCTCTTTCCCTTCCCATTTATTCACAACACCGAGCAGGCATACACCGAGCAGGCATGATCGCATTGTCAAACTGGTAACTTTCTGGGTTAGTCGTTGCAGCAAGACCGATATCCTAAAAGGATTTGCCTCTAAATGTCTATCTGGCGTATCATTCCGCCATGACTCACGCTCAAGAGACAACATCCGACACCTCGTGTCCAGACTGCATGAGAATTCGACCGGATAGTTGCGTGAGGGTGATATCTCTTCTACGAACTGGGAACATAAGGGAAATAGAGTCCCGGAGGCACAGAGATAATGAGAGTTCAGGCCACATGTGATAATCAGGCTAATTATCGATTTCCCATTGATCCTTCATTAAACATATGCAACACAAGAATGATGCCAAATGACGCCAAACTCTTGCCAAGTGGCTCGTCAGGGGGAGGGCAAATTTCTGGCGATAATTGCAGCAGCGACGGATGCCTTTTGTAACTTTGATATACTGTACTCAAAGAGACTGATACGCGAATCAAATACTCGGTTCCCTTCAGCATTCAAGGAAGAGTCCATTTTGTTCTCAAACATGTGCCTCCATCTCTTACTGAAGCAGCCCCCTCGTTTCCATGACGAAGGATTTCCGGATTTGTGCACCAGAACCGACAACATGACTCTGCAGCTTCAAGACAAGATGAAACGGAGAAAACTCACATCCATAGTGCGAAGTAGGTAGAGAGCTGTGACTACATGCGTATCTGCATGCATGCATTCGCTGTTTGAGGCAAACCGGTCCATAAAAACGTACTGGAGTTTACAGGTAATTTCTATCCGGAATAACGTTCTATTGCATATATGATGCAGACCGCGTCAACCGTAATAGCGCTATCTAAATCTCTGTGTCATTGAACTTTTGGGAGGCAGTCACTTTTCGCGACACTGACACGTTTTCTTCTACCGGACAGTCTTCCGTGGGCAGCAGTAACTCTAAGGTTGGACTGCTTACAATTGGTCTGGGAATTCCCAGAGAGCTATTGTGGGACTTGGTGTATACGAAACAAAAGCCCGAAAAAACTGCGAGGAAGACACCGAACCACGCATGCGGGGTGAATTTTGTTCTGAAGATAGCGGCCCCAAGAAGTACGATTGCAATCTTATTCGTCTGTGCTAAGTACCGGAGGGCATCGCTAGATGCAGCCTCGAAAGCAGAGAGAACTGATACTAGACAGCCAGCACTCAGTGCGAAGGACAGGATCAACGGTAACCGCACGACGGAAGGGAGCAGGGTGATTTCATGCGAAAAAGTGGTAACTTCTTGGTTTGCAATCGAAAAGAGGAAAGCGATTGGGATAGAGAGCAGATTTGCGACAAAAGCCTTGTCGGTCGCCTTATAGCTCCCTGAACAATATCGCAATGCCAAAACGTAAAAGATATGAGTAGTGACATTGAAGAGAGACCATGCGTAGCCAAGAAGGGAAGTCTCAGATATGGCACTGGCCGAGTCAAAGGTAAAGACGTTCGCTAGCAAAGAAAGCGCCATGGCGGCGTAGACACCCGTCGGAATTGAATTCCCGAAAGCGATTCGTTCGACGGTCGTAACACCTAACGGAGCCAGACTCTTGACAACAGTGAAGGCCGGTAAAGAGATGAACCGCAACGACCTTGCGTTGGAATAGTGATACAGCAGAAAGAGAATAGACGGGACGAGCATGTTGGAGACTTGGCTGAGATTTATGGCCGGCTGCTCACGCCGTACGATCGCTACGAGAGAGAAGGCGAAGACGACAACGACACATTGTATGGTGATGATGAGCCAGGGAAAATCAAAAAGCGGTTGAGAAAAGACTGCTTTGTTCGCAAGCACAAGGGCGACAGATTGCGTGGCCCACCACAGACATGCCAAGATGCCTGCTGTGTCCCATGCGATATCGAGATTTCGGAGTGAGGCTTGAAATATGGAGCGGCGCGGGAGTGGAGGCGTGGCAGGAGAATATATTGCGTGGATCTCCATGAGATGAGGTGTGGTAGCGGGTTGATAAGAAGCGGCCCAGAAGGCATAGCGCACGTGAACCTTCAGAACAATTGAGGGTTTCGTCGTCGTACTGTACAACGCCGTGTGGTTTCGCCGTGTCAGGAGGCTCGAGATGCTGGACTTGGTTGCGATATTTGGTTCTGCATGTGAACTTCACGGAACAACTGGATGCCAGGAGGGATCGTTGCAGCCCGGGGAGAAGATGGGGGGCTAGAGATAACTGCGGAAGCAAAAGAACGGACGTAACATGTGTGTTGAGATGTGCCAGAGGCACCAGCAATATAGCGGCTTGACATTGGGAAGTGGTTGTGCTCGCCAGGGCCGTAGTGAAACCTGTGAGCCCTGGAATGAACGTCTCCCCCCGAAAGCAGGACGGCATTGTAATGTACTCCTATGACGTTGAGACAAGTGTACCACTATACTGACGCATGTTTTTCATTGGATGTTTTTTACGGCTTGTCGGTCAATATTTAACTGTAAAGCATTCTGACGGGTCTACACAATCCGCATACATCAGTGTTTTGAGCTCAAAAAATCGTCGTAGTGAAACGTGTTATGCAGCCCCCTTCACGCACGGTACTGTAGTTGTGCGACGTACGTGTACCCGGTGTACACAGCCCAAACTGAGAATCGTTTCTTTGCTATAAATTTCTTTGTATAAAATAAACTGAACTGTTTCTTTGCCCTTCCTCGCGCCATCCGCAAAAAAACCCTTTTCACAACGCTTGCTTCCTAAATTATAACTTTGACAACGATTGCAACTTTGGCTGCCGACATCGACACACCGATACAGGGAAGATGTAGTCTGTATGGATAGCACGTAAGGCTCTCTCTACTCACACATTCCACGACTGCTCCTTCTCGCTGACTCAATCTGATGATGCAGACGTAAATGTATGATGCGAGATTTGAAATTTCCAAATGCAAAATCCTCATCGCATCCCGCTCCATCAATTCATTCCCTTTGTCTATCTCGTTTTGGTTGCCTTCCATTCCACCTGAAAGAAGATTCTTTCACCTCACCACCTCCTATGCCTGATTCATTGTCTCTCGCCTTCGTACTAATTCACATGCTTTGTTGCCCTCCGAGGTGGACAAACATCCTTCCAAATTCAGTTCCATGAAAACACATGCATGATCAAACGTCAGAATGTCGGGTATGCTCCGATTGAAATCGTTGAGCAGGTTATTCACTAAATGACGCCATTTATGACGTTATTACGCGAAGCCCATTTTCCTACTCATGCTACTCGACCCAAAACCTTGTCATGTATGAATGACAGCTTTTCTTCTGGTGCAGCCGAAGCACCAAAAATATCTGCCGTACCCATATGGAACTCTGTAAATCTGTTTTCGGTACATATTTGGTTCCGTTGTAAAATACTATTCAAAAAACATAGATCGGCCTGATACACCAACCATGCTAAGTTCTTCGCTTGCCTATTTGAGAGTGATTTTCTGGAAGTTGTAGTTGTCGGCATTCGCGTCTATATGAATACCGAGATTTACATGTAAACCCGAAGAATGATTTCGTGGACTTTCCGTTTTTCACAATTCGCCGTACATTCCACAAAATGAATGGAAACTCTGAGTAACGTAACTATAATGTTGTCAGTAACGGACTCGAAACTCGAAACAGAGTTGAGCGTTTGTGAATGGCACTCTTCCATCCTCAAAACTGAGTAGCTCATCACTTTATCCTATCCATCTTCAGTTCAGTTAAATCCTATCATTATTTCATTTGATTTATTGTCATGGATGAGAAACATGTCGATCGGCACAACATTTTGCACATGATACTGCTTGGACTAGAGCGACAGTGTGTCAAACAAACCAGCCCTACCGATACTTCAACTCCTTTTTCAAATCCTTGTGATGATCCATTACATTAGTTTCAGGTAAATACCATCAGAGTTGCGTTTGAGAGGCTTCTCTGTCGCAGTTCCTGGTTTTGTCAGAATTGGCAATGTTTTTGTACTGGTAAAGATAGTTGCTGTCGGTCGACTCGTAACGCTTGGTTGATACGACCATCTCTCTCCTGACTAGCTGCTCAGACCACATTCATGTAACCTTTTCATTTTCAATTACCGGCGAGGGGTTTCGCCCGCTCGCCATCAACAGTGCTATTCATGTCTGTCTTTTTTCTTAAAAGAAGGCTGGCATTAAAACTCTAGCTTATAGCTCTATAAACCTGCAGTTCGAACCGTTATTATCGATTCAGCGATACTCTCGCCCGAGTTGCCATGCATTACCTCTAAATATTTGCTCTGGTGTCCATGTTCAAACGTTGCCGTCGAAGTTTTGATACTCTTTCCATTTGACTGGGTTCGGGCTCGTGTATGGCCGGGAATGGCCACGTTTTCGTCGTACTGGGCTGATTTATGCGCAACCCCCTCATCACCAATGCCGTTACGACAGAAGGCAGAAGCATAACGCGCGCATTTCAGAAATTTAACCACTCTTGAATAGGCGATGTCTCGGAAAGGCTACCATCAGCTGAGATCACGCAATGACGAGTGCTATTTCTGCTTCGGAAAACTGGACTAGAACAAGGTGTAAAAACGGCATCGTGGATCGTTTGATTTGTTTCTATCATGAAACATTAGTTACTCACTCAGTCACAGCAAAGGTTTATTACCGTCGTCTCAACAAAGAGTCATGCGTACTTTGTCCCATATAGTAGAACTTGAAAAGAAGAACTGTACTTCTGGAAGTGCTCGGTACCAATCCGCGTTTATATGTCTGTTGGAATGTGGCTCGACTTGCTTCTTTTTCAATTAAGAGAAATGACAATAAGCACATTGGGAGATGCTTCAACTCGATACTCCTTTATTCGCTCTGTTTTTTGCGTGTCCCTTTTTGTCATTGAATTAACTCCATGCGTATTCATAGAGAACAAGCATGCATCACACTGAAAACGTGGGGGACACGTAGTTTTCTAAGCTTCGATTGGGCCTACAGTACGTGCAATTTAGTGGGCAAATCTTTGAATCCCGTTCATTGTAAATCTCTCAACGACAGATGCCACGCCCTTTCAATATTCTTACATTCTTTCAGACATCGACGCCTTTGTCGGTCATACTAACGAACCTTGCAATTCATTGTCCATGCGAAGGCTGTTTTTTTAGTACCGGCTCTGTGTAGCTGTGTGTTGCGCGGCGAAACAGTACCGATTGGTAAATATGCCCGAAAACGCATAGCGCCGAATTACACATGTATAACACAAACGCTGCCCGCAGCAGCGGCGCATCGAATTAGTAGTACTTCCTCGTAGTCCTCCCCCAGAAAAAGGGGCATCACAGCTTTCCTAAACCAACTACACAGTGATCACTTATGTCTGTTAACCGCAAGGTTTATTTCGATCACTTTCAAGGTCTCAAACGACACTACCCCGGTACCAAAGCGGAAGACATAACGATGTATCTCAGGCTTTTGAAACGTCACCTAGGGTTACGACGCAAGAAGCATCGTTCGTAGTGACTTCGACCAACCACTCCAAGCCTCTTTCAAGCGATTCGGATAAAGTGCGAGTCTTTCAGCGTCTGGACGACCGGTGCGACAACAAAACAGCGATGGGCGCTGCTTAGCTCAATATTACCTGTCCAGCCCAACTGGTGCAATCTAACGAGTGATTTTTAAGTACTTTGTTGACCTGAATTGCATCGAGTAAGCGATTGCGCCTGACCTATATTCAGCTTGCACCTCGTTTGATGACCTCATCATCACGGTGTATGGAAACCTCTGGAATGCACGATCAACAAGTCTCATGAGACCATATCTCCTGAGGGTCTCCACGCCATCGCAGATCGAAAATTCTACATGGTTATAAGTGGCATACATATCTATTTGCAAATAGAAACATTGTTCATCTCTTATTTGAATTTTTTGAGTCATCTGGGTACCTCCTGGTTTCGTTCAAACGACCTAAAAAGGGGTTTGCAGGACATTTTAACTTCTTTGCTAAACCTAGATCCCCCCGAAGCCATTTGGCATCGAATCTGGATTTTCGTTTAAAGATATCCAAGGACGATTGCGAATGATCGAAAAACAATAAAGGTAAATGCGGTGCTGTTATCTGTCTTTACCAGCAAGAAATTTATCCCCACCGGCGCCAAGACAAATAGGCAAACAGGCAAAATTATTTTCATGCGTGTAAGTCTCTCCTTGGCCATTGACGTTTTTCTGTTTGCTGTTTTTCCTCTACCACTATCTTTTTCATCCGTCAGAGCATCACCACCGGTAAAGGGGGGGGTGCCCCAAATATGAGACAGTGCCCCAATACCGGGACATGCAAAATATTGCCAATAATCTGAACAACACTGGGCCAAACGGTCATGAACACTGGCCTGCGTGCCATGAATTGTCATTTGTCGCCAAATCTTGTGGATGAAATTAAAACTAAATCTCACCAACTGAAAGAGCACAACAGATTACATTTTAAACAGTCCGTCCATCAATGAAAAGGCGGGCGATTCAAACCCTGTTGGCTCGGATCGCCCGCCCAAACTGCAAACCGAACCCAACACATCGTTTCACAACATGGCCACATCTTTGAGAGTCATTGCAATCTTTACTACATTGACGCCAAAAGGCGCAAGATTAATTCCACGACGGACCTTCTCCATCGGTGTCTTCCCCACCTTTTCTCTCGTGATCAGTGCCATTATGGCTCCGCCACCCTCACGAGTCAATGCCATAGAAGCTGCGGTCCAATTCGTGCAATGTGGCCCTCTACGCGTTGCAGCAGAAAGATTTGGTGTGCGCTGTTCGATGATCCATCGCCACTTCGTGGCCAAAAATTCCTTCAATCGTTCCGGTGTTCGACGTCGCGGGCGCATGTGCTCACTGTAGTATAACGACGGACGCGCGCGCGGGGAGATTATTAACAGTGTGGCCGTGCACGGTGGACACGTGGGCGGGTGTGCCCACGTGTAGGGAGCGCGCGCGTGCCGAGCGGTCGTAATCTGGCGTACGTGTAC